ATGACCTTGATATGGTTTTAGATGGAGGAAGTGTGGGTCTTGAAGTTGGTGTTGAAGATCTGGCAGTAGATCTTGACAGAGGTGTTGTGGACCTTGAAGGACCTGCAGATTTTGTGGCGGTGCTGGGGGTAGATCTAGTTGCTGAACTAGCAGATCTAGCAGTTGAAATAGTCGGCTTAGATGCAGTCGGTGTGAGCCTAGATGATAAACTAGTTGACCTACTCATAGGAGTGGGCTTAGTTGTTGCAGATACTGTGGACCTAGAATTAGTCAAAGAAGGTCGAGTAGTTGAGGAGACAGTAGCTCGCGAAGTGGGTGTTGAAGGCCTTGAGGATTTTGAATTTGTCGTCAGTGTTGATGATCTTCCAGTGGGTGTGGCAGGTCTTGATCCAGGTCCTCCAGACGATGAAGGTCTTCGACTTGCTCCACTTGAAGAGCTCAATCCAGGAGAAGAAGTTTGTTGTCTAGATGTTAGATGGTTCCTTGCAGCAGGCTCTGTTGAGGAATTCGCCAGCTACAACAAATAATTCATAGGTTACCGTAACGAAGTAGTGATTCCAAATATAAAAAAAGTTCAGAGATCGAACAATTGAACGTTTAATTTTAGTGTGTAACATACAAGAATCTGATTTGGGATATGTATTTCTTGCATCAACCTTATGCTACTGAAAATGCGCTACTCTAAGAAAAATCCAGAGCAACATCACACATAACAATTAAGTATAAATCCAATTTACTAGTGAAAATCATGAAACTTGAGATGTAAACGTCACAGACTGATGCGGCAGGTTAAACCAGTAGTGGCGGTTCAAAACAACAATATCAGCAAAGCTTTATTTTAACACTGGTTGCACTACTTTTGGCTGTTTGTCTAGTATCCAGGAGTTGATAAAAGAGGTCAGAACACTAAGCAATAACATTCTTACCCTAGAAGTCAATGTAGCCGGGCGACTCTTTGAATCACCAGTCTGACTCATCATAGTCCTATGTGATTCCATCTCCAGCGATGGAAATAGAGGAGTACCTGGAGGAGTCAGAAGCCTTCGAAAGACAAGGAGAAGTTAGGGTGGAAATGATAAACAGATAAATAATACATTGTTCAAGAAAGCATATGAATGTCTAAAAAGAGATAACAGATATGCTGCCTCACTAACAAAGATGATGAACAATTAACGCAGCAAAATTCTAAACTTGATAAGCATTCAGTTCAAGACTCGCAATCCTCACAAACAAAGGGTTCCAAATTCTGACACCAAATTCGAGTCTATTAGATTCAACACTTGCCTTATACAGACAATGATGAAATGTGAAGAAACAACACAATGTCAAGGAAACAAAACTACGAGGCAACATACATCAATTAACAACAATACTACCACATATATATTACTTCAGAACCTCATGGTTAAGTAAGATACAGCAAATCACTAACTATACTATCACAAAGAATATTTAAACCGCTTGCACTTAAGGTGGCTAAGAAAATTCAAACCATCACAGGTGAATATGCTCACATACTGAAGTTATGAACCATATCGTCGCAACATGAAAACATGTGATTAAAAAAGTTACCATTCATAGTCATTTTTATCGCCTTCAGAATTAAGAAAATCATCAGGAGCAGCTGTCTTCCGAGGTGGTGGAACACCACTTGAGATGTTAAACACTGGTGAAGTTCCAGGCTTTGAACCTAACAAACCAAACCCCATCAAGAACTAATTAACCTCCCAGACCAAATCAGAAACATGATTCCACAAAATTAGAAAGAAAAGAAAAAAAAAAAAAAAACATATTACAAACCTAATGGAGATTCAAACTCATCAGGGTTATTGTTAAGAAGGAGATTATCCTGCTCTTTCTCACGCCGTCTCATCTCAAGAAACAAAGAAAGCTCTTCATCTTTCTCAGCCATCATAGAAGCCCTAAGCTGTTGCCTTTGCCTCTCTGCTGAATCCAGCAATAGAGACTCTTTTGCCCTAAAACTTCGATTCATTGCTCACCAAACTTACAACAGATCAAAAAGACACTAACTTAGCTTCCAATTTACTCCCAACGGACCTATAATCTAAAAAGTTAAATTATTGTCTATAAACTTAAAAAAATTGAAGAACCCAAAACGAAAAATCGAAACTTTCACAAGCTTAACTTGCAACACATTTTTCAGAAATTTTCTATTTGTAAGTTAAGTAGAAAGGAAGAAGAAAAAAGGGGAAAGTTAACTTTTTTTTTAATAGAAGGAAGACACGAGTTTTCTTCTCAAAGAAACCGCCATTGTTGAGGAACGGAGCTCAAGACCCTAGCCCAACTACAGTTTAACGGAGAAAAAAACCCAGAAGCAGAAAATAAAAACCTAATAACAGAGAAAGAGAGAGATTTTGGGAGATCGAGGGAGAGAGAGAGAGAGAGATTGAGGAGGAATTGGGAGAGAGAAGAGAGAAAGTGTGAAGAGGAGTGGCATTGAGTGTAATTATTGAGCTTTGAGATCGGTTAAATTGGAAACCTTTTTTATAAGCTCAAAAAAACAAAAAAGGTTTATTTTTGGGGTTTGATGAGAAATTTTTTCAGTGACGGGACGAGACATCTGGACTGGTACCTAATGCGTTAATCAATTGTTTCTATCGCTTGAAGCCTAAGGATTCTCTCTGCTCTTCTTCTATTTTTATTTTTTTGTAATGTGTTACTCAATGATTATTCCAATGTTTTTTTGTTTGTTTTTTTAAGATTATATTGTCAGAGTTTTGAATGAAATATTTTATATATTCTTCAACCATTGAAACACGACTTACTCGAAATTGATCAATGATTCTTGAGTTTATTGTATTATTATAAGCGTTATAATCCCGTTTGTTGAACCATACAAAGAAATAGTGTTCGAAGTGGTAAGGACCTTTGAATCTCGATTATTAAATTTGAAAACTATAGAGACCTAACTACTCAAATTGATTCAATTGGAAATTAGTTTTTTTTCATACATTATGAGGTCTTAATCTGTCATTAATTACCTACTGATTAGGTAACATACTAAATTTCTAGTTTTAGCAATGATTTTAAGCTTAAATATTCTTAAAACTATATAATTTTTAAGCTCATTATTGGCAATTGTATTTTGGGAGGGGTTGACATTTTGAAAAGTTGGTGGCTTGGATTGTTGTTCAATTGGTTATTAACTCACTTAAAACACTATTGAGTTCTGGAGTCTAATTTATATCTTTGATCTGAAGATCGGGCGGACGTTTATCAATCATCGCTGCAAAGAAAGGGTGATATAGTGTGATAGTTAAGAGTGTCTTTTAGTATTTGGTAAAAAAATCCGTTTTAACATGCTCAAACAAAGTATAAACTAATTTGGTATCACTTTGTTAGATTAGTTTTGGAGTATGGAGTGTTAGTTAGTATAGTCATAATCCAATAAAATGTTGAGAAATGTTGTATTATATGATAAAAATGTGGTTGTGTGCAACATCATTTGGATTTCTAGACTAAGGATCGGATTCACCATCGTATATGGAAAGATATGATTGTGATTAGTGTCCAAGTGAGAGATTATTAAGTTGTGAAACCTAATATTTTGGACATGTTATTGATTCGACGATTGGATCATATGTTGATGTCTAGACATGAACGATTAGGTTGATGTGAGGTTGGAAGAGGTGTTCTTCCCAAGGGTTAAAAGGGGCAGAAACTTAAGGAATAAACTTGTGAATTGTCCAAAAAGATAAACAAAGTGAATCCCATACAAGTTTGATTAATAGTTTAAAACTTATATTTTCACTAGAAAAAAACTGTTGGATATGGATTTGAAATGGATTTAAGACACAATGGTCGAGACTTTAGGCCACAATAAGAATTAACGGTCGATGTTGCTAATTTAGAATACACTGCACCTTCATTTGTCTTCCTTCCCTAGGCTCTAGGTAAGCGATTAGCTCTGCTATGTAATCTTCTTCTTGAGGAAAAAGAAAAAGCTCATATAAGAAATTCTGTGAACAAAAAGGTTTACATAACTTACTTAATCTGATGAAAGAAAAAAGGAGAAAAAAAACAATGGTCCAACAAGACAAAAGAATATAAAAGGACATATATTTCTCCAACGATTTATATGGTCAAGGGCATGTACAATGTCATTGTCACCACCATCATATAAGTGATGAACACCATCATGCTGAAAACAAAGTATTTGGAGAAGACAAAGCCAGTAGTTGTCAAAATGGTACAGAGAATTTTGTCATAAATGAAGTATTATTTCATGAAAACGTTGAAGATAGATTTGATTGTGTGTTGTATTTCCTAAAACCCCGAGTATATAAGTTAGTTCGAAATTAGTATAATACTATAATCACATAATCTTTAATATGTCAATTACATCTAATGAAACATGGAATATGAAAATTCATCCTCTTCTATAGAAAGAGTCAACAATATAAATGAAAATGTATACTCAATAACATCAACATTTGATGTTCACCACAGTCCATAATACTTCTTTTTTTTTTTTTTGCTTTTCCTTTCCATCATGGGAAAGAAAACTGACAGAAACCAA